AGCGCAGTTATTCAAAGCAAAATTCATGGCTTTAAATTTCTTAGAAACATATTTAAAGGGCACTATTACTACCTTTGCTTGGGAATGGGAATAAAGCAGTGGTTAAGAATTGGGGAAAAAATTCGATTTGAAGAATAATACAAGACAAGAAGAAAACTAGTTTCTTTGTAAATTAAGAGAATTTCATCAAAAATATACACAGGTCGACTTCGTTAATTTAGTTTAGTTATATGTAATAACAAAATTTTTTTTAAATATACAGAAAACCTAATTTTTCAATCATATTTTAATTGATCAAACATCTATGGATTAGTTTGAAATGCCAATTAAAAAAAAATTTTTTCTGAAAAAAAATTTTGTTTAAAATTTGGTGCAAAAATGCCTGTTGAAAGTGGTAACTATTACTATATATAATACGCAAGTAATTTGATAAATATGACAAATGCGGATAATTAATTCTTCATAGAATTGATTCTCCAAAGATTTCTTTATTTTGTTCCAATGAATGCTTTTTGGATATTGCATTTCATACTTGAGTTTGATAATTATACAAAACCACTTCTAGACAAACTAAACTCATAATGCCGAAACCGTTGATCAGGGAAGCGATAAAAGTACTTAGTTATCCGCGATGCATCCTAAGCTGGCTGATCTTGTTGATTACGACAGAGAGACATGGAAACTTCAAGCATCACCTCAAAAAGATAACTCTTGCTGAAGAAGACACTTGCAGACTATGTCTAGAAGAATAAGCGGCAGCGGTGCATATATTGTGCCAATGTCCAGCACTGGCAAGCAGGAGGAAGACTTTTTTGAGACACTAATGAGTTGGTGATGACTTGGCAGGCAACCTCAAGTTAAATGAGCTGCTCGCATTAACAAGCGATGTAGTTATGCGAACGGAAGCCACTCTAGCTTTAACTCAATAACGACATCCAATAATCGAAGGACGAAAGAGGACCTAAGTCGTTTCGTGATCTACTTAGGGTAATCCTTCATTTCAGTGGGGCCACTTTTTAGACAGTGCGCTGACCCAACGCCCCATATTGTATACATAACTATACAGAAACTTTTACTAACCATCTACCGTGCTGATAGAAGCATTATTAATAATATTTTATATATTTATTAAAAGAACCGTTGCATTACGAGTTCATTTTTAACGTAGTGCAATTTTGAGTAGTAAAAATATTTAAAATTTAAATTTTCATCTCATAGTTTATTAAAGTTTTACTCAGCGAGGATAATTGCCTGTGCTGGTTGAAAAGATTTTTTTAAATTAAATTGTTGTGAACTTAAAGTAACCAAAAAGGCTTTCAGTGAAATTACACATGTGACCCGACCCACACGTCAAAGGATCAACAGATTTTTTTTTTTTAAATTCACGTGAGTGCGTTTTTGCAATCTATAGGAATGGGCAGGATGAAACTGTTAAAACTTAATTATTTTCATAAATGCTTCCGTACACATTTCTTTCATTCAAAGATAAACAAACATACATATTGCATATGTATTTACATTTATAAATATATAAACAAGCACATATATATTTATACATATACAATATATACCGTTTTCAATGTATAAAAATCCTTATAATAATATTTGGTGACCTGCGATTCATACAAACCGCCGTTTACTTTCTCTTGGAGGATGAAAAACTTTCGTCAACTTACACGTGATTTTTTCACACACACTCACGCTATATATAGGCAATATGCAATCATATTTACAAACCCCCCCCCTGACGACCGAACATTTGCCACAAGTTTCACTGACGTGAGCACTTGCCGTAATCCAGCAAATTGCCGGCAATCGATATAGTCACTTTTTTTCGTAGCGAAACGTTAATGTCAATGCGATTGCGAATGGGAATGGTTAGGACGAAAAGGGAAGAGAAAGGAAGCGCGCCTGATTGTGAATGTTTTGTGAATGCGATTGTGAATATCGCTATATGATTGCATGCGTGCAAGTGTGTGCGTGTGTGTAGACAACTATGGCTTTAACGTTGTCAATGATGCCAAATGATACCCAATGATCCCGTCGCCAATGTTATTGTTGATGTTGACTGTGACATCGTAGTTTTTATGCAATAAAAAATTTTTTTTCTCTCCTATTTTTTGTTATTATTTCAGCAATTGCTTGATATATCATTGGTTGGTTTGTTTTTATTTTTGTCTGCTACACGAAGTTGACATTGATGATGATTATTGGGAGTAAATAGAATCGAAAACGTTAAAAAAGTGATTCGCCAAGTCAATTGCTCAAACGAAACATATACACAATAACAAAATATTCCATTCTATCCGTACGCGACTGAGCACTGAGTTTATGTGTCAGTACACGCAATACTGAAATCTATTGTATTTCAGAATTTCGCAATGGCAGCAATAGCAGTTGTAGCAGTAGTAGCAGTAGTAAATATTTCATTCGTAATGCGAAGATATAAATTGCAAAATCAATTGAGCGGTAAAATAGTTCAACATTCAATGAAAGACAACAACCCCAACCCCAATCCAATCATCGGCAACAAAAATAACAACAACAACCAACAGAAGAATGACAACAATAACAGTTACTTTAACGACGTTCACTATAATAAGCACTCACACAAAAACAAAAAGGATATAAACGGAAAAAAATGGAACTGAAGAGGCAACTGATGAACTAAAATGACTTAAATTTCAGCACATCAACGAGTTAGTCTGAGTCAGGAAAGTGTAATTTCAAGCCAAAAATTGGAAAGTTTTTCTTATTTATATAACCCAGAGTACTTACGTCTGAATTTTCTACAGTGAAGGAATATGGAATAGCAAAAAATGAAAGTTTAACAAAACTTTTCGAGTTTAGTGTGCAGAGCAGAGGATGTCTTAAGCGACATGCCTACAATACTTATAGGCTGAACCATTGACATTGTGGAAATATTTTCTCAAAAATAGAATAGTCTATATATATATCTATATGCTTATAAATAAATATATAAGTACGTAATTGACGATAACTGAAGCGAATATTTTTGATAGCCCAATTTTGCCTTAAGGTTTCTGTTGTTTCTGCAGTAAACACTTCGAAACCGGAGTGGAGAAGTGCTTAACAAATTGAGGGGCAAAAATAAATTTGCATTCTCAATGCAAAACAGTAACAATTTGTGTAATAAATTCGAGTAAAATGATTATGAAGATTAGTAGGTGGTGTTTCGATTTTCATTCATTTATAAGTATAAGCAAAATTGAATTTCTTTTAGAAACTATGCATTATGTACTAAAAGTAAAACCAGCTATATATACAAGTATAAAGAAGAGGAAGATAAAGGCAATGTTTATTATTTTGTTACACTAGTAAAATTTATACATTATGTTAAATTAAGAAAAACTTGAATTTTCCTTACTAAGCTTTAAGGTTTAAACCACAAACTTAAGTTATTTGCAAAATTTGTTCAATGTTTTTTAGACATTTATTTTTGGATGTGCATTATTATTAAAAAAAAAACAATGACAAAACAGCGGATAATAATTTCTTTGTTCTAGAAATGAGAAAAAAGTCTGATCGAAAAATCTTAACTACAAAACCAACAATATTTCAAAAATGATTCATTCAAATAGCTGAAGACGTATTTATTTGCACATGAATTATATATAAAATAAAGACACATATATATATGTCTATAAACATATAATTATGTCTAGTTTTTTTAATTTGTCACTATTAAAAATTATACCTTAAATATTATAAAAATAAAAATAAAACAATATATTATTTACTGTAATTGACGATTACTGACTAACACTCGCTTGGAGGTACCGCAAACAGCACCTAACCATATAACTTATTATTCCCCAACTAGGCATATGCCTCTTCAATGCCTCTGTTTTTACTTCGATAAATTGCCTTTCTTCTTCTACTTTTTCTTGATTATCTCGTGCTTCTTAATATCCACGACTTTCGCGATTCCTGTTATAAAGTTCATAAGTAATCTGTTCACTATATTTTCCCAATAACCGCATTCCATTCATTTATCGGTTTTCTTTTTTAATTATTGTCTATACTTTCTGATTTAAATGAATTCAGTTCTATATATGCTAGTTATATTAAACCTCTAACTCTTCTGAAATTAGATTCACAGCTTCATAACCTTACAGTGACCCAATGCATGAAGTCTTCATTATTCATGTCTAATGGGTGACTTTCGTGCTTTATAGTCTTTCACTGTGGATTTTCATGCTTTTTATCTATCGATAACTAATATTTCTGGTGTAGTATCTTTCTGTTGTTAAACCGTTTGGGTCATGTTATACAAAGAGTAATGTCAACTTTAAAATTATTGTTGTTTTTAATGTATATAATGAGATGAAAATAGGAGAAAAAGACAAATTTTGATTTAAATTAAATCTCAATGTTTCAAAGTTTGTAAATCTTTAGAACTCTTGTCCTATGAATATGCTTAAGATCATTACTATGTATCTGATTATTTTCTTATTTTGTTAGCAAAGATCACTCTGGCTCAACACACCAAATTGTAAAAGTATTAGAAATAAAGTATTTAATAAAATCTGGAAAAATTTTATTCACAATTTTATTTTTATTCCTAATTCAAATTATATTTAAATACAATAATATTTTTATTTGTGCTTGAATATTTACAAGTTTCTAATACGAGATAATACATATATTGAAGTGAAATAAAATGTCGGTAGTGAATTTTGTACTCAGGCACTATTTTTTTAATGAATTGGCGTACATTTTCTTAATTGGAGATACTTGTTAGAATACTGAATTAAGTGCTTTTAATTTAATTTGAGCACTAATTCTAATTAAGAAATAGTTGTTCTAATTTTTCATCTTCAGTTGTTAAAGACAAACAAATATGACTTATTCGATCAAAATACATATTTTTCATAAAGTTCCCAGAAATGTTTGCTTTATGCCGTTACTTAAGAAGCATAATACATAAGCATTATTGTTTAGAAACATTAAGTACTCATCTCATAAATTGATAACCCATGCCAAAAGCTGATAAAATTGCGAATATTGAACTCAAGAGTAAGTCGTCAGAAATGGTTTTTTCTAAAAGCAGTCTCAAATGCAAAATTAACCAAACTAGACGTAAATTTAAAAGATTTAAACATTTTAAAAATGATATTAATTAAAGATTTTGTGATTTTTTTAATATTAAGTTCACATCTTCTCTTTTGCACTATTAAAGGTTTTTAAATAATTCTTTTGAATGGCGAAAATTGTAAATAATTTTAAGAATATTTAATATTTCTGAATAGCTCAAAATGTAATGGTTCATTTTGGACGTTGCAGAAGGGAAAAAATCTTGAGAGGATACTGTCGAAAACTTCAGGATTGCAAGACACTGACGGCAGAACAGAAAAATAATAAAGATTTATTGAAAAGTTTAGAATGTTCGAATGAAGATTATTTACAAACTGTAAGTTAATATAATGTAAATATAAGTATTTGCATGATGTTAATAGTAATATATATTGGATATAAAATATCTCTTTTTTAAGTTTAGTACTGCTGTCCATTAGAAATTACTGACACTGGCAGCAAGCCTACTGGAATCAGTCAAGGTAGCTGGATGCACTCACATACAACTTGTGGTCAATTTAAAAATTTCTGCAGCACAGATAGTGACAAAATAAAGCACAAATTAACTTGCAACAATTTTTTAAGTGCCCGCACTGATAAATTTCCTTGGTTGGTGGACTTGGTTTATGGAAACCAATACTTTGCACAAATAACGCCATTCTGTAGAGGAACCCTAATTAGCGATCGTTGGATTTTGACAGCATCGTTCTGTGTAGCTGGAAGGGAGTTTCATAATGGTTCGAAACTAGTTGGTGTACGATTGAAGGCAAATAGCTTGACTAGCTATGTAGATATAAAATGTGATAAAATAGTGCTGCATCCGAAATTTAAAAGTAAATCGGTGGAATCTGGTAGAGATGTAGCACTAATTCGTCTACAAAATGCAATAAAATTTTCAACAAATTTATTACCAATTTGCTTACCACAAAAAATACCAGATTTCCAGAGCAAACATAAAGCAACAAATATTTTGGGAGAAAAGGTATTAAAATATATATTTCCATTATGTGAACAATCAAATGAAAATTCAAATACAACTGAAACTTGTCAAAGTAGCTATGGTGCACCACTAATGGTACAAATATTTAATAGTGAGAAAAAATTAGTTTTCTACTTATTAGGTATTGTATCGAGTGATGAAAATAACTACTTTCTTGAAAAGGTGCCGAAAAAATTCACTGCCATTAAACCACACATGGATTGGATCACTGAAGTTATTAAAACAGGAACGTAAATAATGAGATTCCTTCAAAAAAATTGTTTTATTTTATTTAATATTTATATAAATTTTAATATTTTTTAATATTTTATATAAATTTTAATATTTATGTAAATAGTTTATAATTATTTGTTATTACGTGCAAGAAGATAGTTCGTAAATAGAAATAATCCGAAATATCTGTAATGTTAATAAATTTTTTATAAAAATTAAAATTTAATTAAAATATTTATTTACAACTTTTTATTTAAAATTTTTTTTTATTATTTTATATATTAAATAAGCCCGTTAATAATCAAAAACTTATATATAGTTTAGTTAAAGAAGCATGTGGCAGGTTTCTGTGTAAATCTGTTAAAATAAAAACTTATAAATAGATTCATTTTTTAAAAAATATTCTATAAAAAATTTGATTATCTATTCTACATTAATATGATCTTTAAAATTTCTTACAAGAACAATGTAAAATATAAAAAGATATTAATAATGATTTCGCATTTTAAGAATTACTATAAATTGTATATTAAATTATTTTAGTATATATATTATTTTATTTACGAATTTTATACTAACCACATATACTATAGTTAAAGTTTACTGAATTATTGATTAATTTATTTCTCTATTATTGTTGGAATAATATTATCAATGATATTAATGAGAGTAACATACTTGTTTATGTCAAGCTTATAGCATATTCATATATATTCACGTTTTTTGTGGCTTAGATCGAAAAACCTAATATGATTAATTGAATTTTTTTTTTAAATTAAGATATAAAATTATGCCAAATCGAATTATGTGAGCTAAGACACTTCAGTACTACTATTAGTTATTGCATAGCAAAATTCGCATATATAATTATAACAAAATAGTCTTTTTAGTTTTTCTTAGAATATTAAACACATAAATTAAGTTTAAATAAATTAAATTAAAGTTTATTTGAAGTTTATTTAAATTTTTTCATCTTAAACGCAATTGTAAAAATCGGTTTTAATAGCCAATAAATCCCTCAAATCAAAAAGTCTGTAGCGGTTTGGTAACGAATATTTCTTGTCTAAAACTACAGAATCTCATTTTATGCGAAAAGTATATGAACTCTGAAGTATCTTAAGCGTTCGAATGAGTTTGGTAAAAATTAGATAAATAAATCTGGTACAGATTTGGTGCTTCTGCCTGCTTGCTTGTCTTTGTGGTATGGTCATTGCTGCTTCTGTGGAATTTGCCAGTGGCTTTAAAGTCGCCAAGCATTAAATACTTGACGAGAGATTTTTTGTGTCAAATTTTGATGCGGATGATACTCTTTGGATTATATTAACAATTCATGAAAACAAAAAAAGAAAAAACAACATTTGAAAAACTGCTGTTGGTATAAAATGCTTAGCATAACGGTAGCGTTCCATTACTTGAATGGCTCAGAAAATTGTCGACTCATGCCTGTACAGAAATTCAGAAATTACGATTGCTTCTGTTACAGAAATTTATTTAATAATAATAAAATTATTTTTAACTTTATTATATACAAAAATATAATTTTTAATGTTTTATTCAAATTTTTTGTTTTTTTTTTTTTTTCAAATATATATTCTTCGTTTGAATATATAAAAAGAAAGTATGCAAAATCATATTCAATCATCAGTTTGACTTATTAAAAACATTAGTTAAAGTTAATAAATGAATTTGACTTAATTTTGTTATCTTCGTTATATCGAAACTCAGCTGCTTAGCTCCAATATATGTTAGCTCCATTGAAATGCTAATGCCGATCAGAAAATCTAAACAAAGGGAAACCTACAAAGACGAAGCGCTAATTTCTGTTTAATAAAAGTAGCCAAAAATACATTTAGTTTATAAGTATTTTTTTTTTCTTTTGTAATTTGGTATGATTTCTTTTTTGTTTGTTCAAAATCATATCTCTTTTAGCAAACTTATTTTAATAAATTTCAATATTTTGCTTTGTCATTAGCAAAGCGGCCTCCGACCGCAAATTAAATATATTCATGCTGCGGCTGATAGATGAGCCTAAGTCATTTTATTGACTCCAGCGCTCGAAAAACATCTGAAATTATGTATTGTAAAAAATTCTCTGCATAAAGATCGAACAACTGTGCTTGAGTTGATCAATTTTTGGCACTTTCACTTGTTCAAATACAAACAAAACACAGAACTATTGGTGGTAAGAGCGTCAAAAATAGCTGCAGATACAATAACATATAAATTTGATGTTGGAAGAAACTAACGCAGTTATTAGTTTAAAAAAGAGCGATATTTTCCGTAGAGTTTGAGCATCTTCAGCCGTCTTGAAGAATTGTTGGCATTTGCTCTGTGTAATATTGGTAGTTATATCGTGACAATGGCGACGTTAAGGTCGAATGGTTTAATGTATCGGGAAAATGTGCGAGATTCCTCCGTGTATCTCATCAGTTACAAGCAGTGGGGCATCACAAGCAGTTTGCTGTAAAAAAGTGTGCGTTCGTATTTTTCGTCGCTGTGACTGTTACCGTTTTGAAATTATTACATTAATTAATTAATTTTTTTTTTTTGATTTAATTGATGTGTTATCACCTGCATTAACGGTAGATTGAGTTAAGTGTTGTGCATATTTTGAATATCTTTAATTTGATTTGATGTTAGTGATTTTCGGTTTAATAGACATTTTACTTAAATGCGTCGATATTTTTGTAAAAGTTACGTTTTTGTGTTTTGTGTTACATTCATTTTGGCACCCCATGTACAACATGAGTCCCCAGTGGTTGCTGCGATCGTGCATCATAAATTGAAAGTTATGACGAACACATTCCGATTTCTACAAGAGACCATGTTGCGTACCAGCTTGGAGCGGGCGCAACTTAATTATGGCATCATTTTTGAATGCCGCACAAAGTAAGATTTTTGTCTCTCAGTTTGCATTTTTGTATCTGATTAATATTCTGAAAATTTTGATAATTGCAACGTTAAATAATCGTAACAAATTAAAAATAAAATAAATTTTAATAACGAAACAAATTTATAAATAAAAAATTAATTTCATCAAAAATGTGTATAGAATCACACGTGCGGAAGTATTTAATAATCTGTTACAGTAACAAAAAAAAAATAGATTAAATTAATAAAAATACAATATTAAATAAAAAATCGAAAATATTTTTTAAAAAATAAAAAGTAAAAACAATTAAAAAAAACGAAAGCAGAAATTTATAGGAAAAGCTTGTGCTTAAAAAAAACTCGATTTACTAATCGATTTACAATTAGTTTGAAATCATATTAATGTAATGACTTTAGTATTTTAAAATTAATGCCATATTAATGCATAATTAAAATTATGTTAAATAACACTTGTTTATACACTATTTAAATTTTATTTTCATTTTTGTTTTTTTTTTTTTGCATTTTGCATTTTTTTGCAATCTGTTTTTGCAACAATAAGTCAAATTGATGGCAAGATAATTACAATTCTGGTCTTCAATGTAAACACCTATTATAAAATTACGATAATAAATTTTTTAAATTATTATATAAAACATATGCACACGTCTAGAATCAGTGACCTCTTCAATGTTCTTGAATACGAAGTAAGGAACCTTGTCCTATCTATTTGTTTCAGTATTTAAAAATTATCGCTTTACTATAGAAATTTTTTACTTTTAATGAATGCAGTAATCTAATATAGTAGAGCACTGATAATATTTTTATTCCTAAAATTTGTATCTCTGGGATATTTTTATGTCTAACATCACTCCAATGCTCTTAAATTGTATTGTGCGAGTCCAGCTAAGTTTAAATAAAGATTTTATAATGCAGAATTTGGTTCCCTTAAATAAAATTTTTGTGACAGTTTTGTATTGAATAAACTTTAATGCTCTAAAATTGTCTGAAGTGCGTCCAAATCGGTTCTAACAAAACTTTATACAATAGAATGTTGTTACTCAAACTAAATATAGAATTAAGCTAATGGAAGTTGTGAGTATTTCATATTTTTCAGACAAGTCACAACTGCTTGAGTTTTATATAAAGTTTGAAAGTATATTTGCCGTTTGGATATATCCACAAGTATTTTACACACCTACGTTGTGTTGTTAAATTTTCCTTTTAGTTGGATTTATCTATGACAAAAATATAATTTATAGAGACTATTTCTTTGACAACCGTAAGTCATTTCAGCTTCATAGCCCTTTAAGACATTCATATGATTCAGCTAAAGGTTTATCTGTTGTTAAGATTAATGCATCATTAGAATATATTCGAGATTCAAATATCAGTTTTCGATATTCATTCGGCTTTATTTAGTAACTATTTTCTAAACAAATAGAAAATACATAAACTGCATTTATATTGGATTTTAAGGAAAGCCTGATCTGAGAAGTTCAGGAGGTAATACTAAAGTTCTTAGTTAGTTACTCCAGTAATTAATACTGAAAAATTATATTTTAGGAGGCAAAAATAAATTATACATTGTATATAAATGCATTTCCACATGCAGAACTTTTATTCCCCCAAAAAATTGAACTAGACTATTGTATACGTACACATAATCCCAGCCAGAAGGTAAACATAATTTACTGCCTGAGATTTAAAGTATCCTTAAGTGCTTTTCTTGGTTTTAAAAAGACTTAAATCAGGAATTACCTTTGTATATAATTAAGTCGGAAATGATGACAGTAATTAAACATTTAGTTATAAAAACGTTCAAATATAATTTTTTATATGGCAGTGACGAATGATATCTCACCCTCTTGGCTATATAAACTAGCTGCGACTGCTTTTCAGATTTCCAAAAACAAAGTTTTTCTAGTATTTTGTAAAAAATAGATTCATTAGTAAGAGAAATTGTAATTTATTTTTCTCTATATATATATATTTATAAGTGAAGTAATTAATTTAAATATACAACCCCGGAATTGCATCTTTATTTATTTACTCAACTATTAATATATATTTATTTATCTCTTTATATCTTTAGTTCAGATATGACTGTAGGCAGCGAAGTGCATTTTAGTCTGCAATTGGGTGACATGAGTGGCTTTAGACGAATAAATCCCAGAAGAAAATTGGCACTTTTTCTGCATGGCTGGAATGATGAAGGCAGCAAAGCCTGGGTACAAGAAATGTTAAAAAGTAATTGTTTGTATATTTTTATAGAAGTTCTGATATAAAATTCTCTAATAATTCTAGCTTGGACACATTTTGACCCAGATTACACTGTTTGTGTGGTGGATTGGGGACATTTATCACAAATGGACTACAAAACCGCTTCCATGTCAATATTTGATGTGGGCATAACAGTAGCTGGCATCATAATAGCTATGGAGGAATTACGTCCAGCTTTGTTTACACGCAAAAATGTAACATTGGCTGGTTATAGTTTAGGTGCACATGCAGCTGGTCATGCCGGAGCTGTGTTGAATGGAGAAGTGGAACAGATAATCGGTTTGGATCCAGCGGGACCATTATTCACTTTACCATCTGTAGTATCAGAAAAATATCGTTTAGATGCAAACGATGCACAATTTGTACAAGTGTTGCACACTTCAGGCGGTACTCTCGGTACAAAGGTTAAATCTGGACATGCAGATTTCTATCCAAATGGTGGTACGGTACCACAAACAAATTGCAGAATGTTTATGAATCTCAACGATATGCAAAATACAAGTGAGTATTACTAAATATTTTTTTAAAACTAGCAGGTGTATATTATTGTATATTATTATTATTATATTATTATTATAATATTCAAATATGATATGGTATCTTCTTTATATACTAGAAGTATTTCTAATTGAAATTCTTTATTTATATGAAACATATCTCTCTATATAATCATCTGTTATACATAACACATCACTTGTTAAGTCTGTAGAATCACCAACAAATCAAAAACTTTTTAACAAAATTCGAATTTGTTCTCAATGTGGTATTCTTCAAAAGTAATAGAATTATTCCAACGGTTCTCTAACATTTCGGAACCTCTCTTGTAGAATGATTCATTTTTAGCTTTACATATGCCTCAATTTCGGCGACAGTTTTTTTATGTAGCCTTAATAAAAGTGACGCTTTCCTTTGAAATCTTTAAATGTCCTACAACTTCTCTTTTCGATGTCACCACATCTTTTGGATGAGCAGAGCTTTGGACGTCTGGCGACCGGTTTTCGTAAAGCGAACAATAGTTAACAAACCACTTCTCTATCATTTGTATCAATAAAGCAGGTTTTAGATAGCTTTTGCCTTGAAGTCAGCAAACTACTTCGCTATTATTTGTCTCTATTTCTCTATAAAAATAAAGCAGAATTCCATAGCACATATAAAGCCAATCTTTTGCTATCAATTCAGTAAACCACTTTTCTACCATTTGTCCAGATGGAGCACAATTCGGATCGAGCTTATCAAGCTAAGCTTTTGCTGGAAAGTGGGGAAACTACTTCTTACCATTGTCTACACTTATCACTCAAGTTTTTCGCATCAAATATTAATGATAAATTAGGTCACGAAATTGCTTAGAGTCCATTGTTGTCAAAATATGGTCACTAAAACCTATGATATGATTTGAATATAGCCACTCTTGGAAATTTGTATGGATTTATTATTATTGGTTCTGCCAATGTATTAATCTATCACTTATTAACCGATGTCTTGTTTCAGTTATTCAACAGAACTGCTGGTTAAAAAAATTTCATTTAATAATTCTAGTCTAATTATCCTGTTACATTGATTCAACCACATTCTTCATTTACTCTTAGTAGATTAAAGTTGCTTGGTCGGACTAACTGTCTACTTCTCTTGAATTTCAGATCCAATTTCCTGTAGTCACTCTTCAGCAGCAGTGTTCTTCAAGCAATCAATGGATCCAGCATATCCATTTATTGGTCATCATTGCAAGAGCTTTCAAGATTTTTCTATTGGCTTGTGTGCACAGAATCGAAGAGGCCGCTTTGGCATACATTCGCAACGACAAAGTCATGGTAATTTCTACTTCAACACCGAAGCCAACAAGCCATACGTTAGACGACGTCGACCTGAAGTGTTGCACTTGCAACGTTTGCCGGCACCGCTGCGTTGGAATCGCATTTTATAGTATTTGTGGTCTGTGCTCTTGCTGAGCCATTAGTCAGTCGTTGCTCAGTGCCGTGTTATCATAGAAATAAATGCATTTTCGTCCAATTTTAAGCAAAACAAAAAAAAAAATAAAAAACAAGTGAAATAAAACAAATTTAGTCCAGTGAATCGTTGCGTTTCAATTGAAAATTTCATTTAAAATTCACTTTACGCGCTTGGCATTGCGTTGCGTTGCTTTGCGGTTTGTTGTGGCGGAGTTGTAGTGTTGCCATCTGACGTTGAACGAAGTTTTGTTCCATCAACGTAAAGGAAGAGCAATCATGCCTGTTTGCACGGATGTGGTTGTGTCTGCATGTGTGTGTTGGCGTAGTTGTGTTGTGAATGGGCCTGTGTGCAATTGGACGAAAAGCAGGTATGCAAATTATTGCAAGTATGTATTTTAATTAAGCAGTTGCATAGATGCACAAAAAAAAACAACTCATTTTTGGTACATTTCGAGCAGCATATGCCGGACTTGAGGGGCAAAGAAAATAGTTGTTGTAGCAATGAAATTGAATTTTAATTATATTGAGCTTAAATTTTTTATAGCAATTCAAATAAGTATCTTAGAGTATAATGTATAATGCGTTCATTAATCTTTGGCAATAAAAACTACAATTAAACAAAATTGCGAATTATTCTAATAATAGTTTTATAAAAGCAATGATTAGAATTAGTTCTGAAAATTGGGGTTTATAAATTAAATAATAAGTGTTATTAATACTTCTATATTTATTTTTAGGAGCTTCAAAATTGAAAAAAAAAATTATATTAATTTGATAAATTTATAAATTATAACTTTTTAGTTACAGTATTTTTGGCATGCAATAAAAATTGTTATAGGGATGACTTGGTGGAAATGACTTTAAAGCACTGAGAAGCGCTCTTTTTTTTAGCATTTTGCGATCATTAATTAATGGATATCATAGATATCATACACAAATGTAAATATAGATTTTCCAAAAAGCGTTCTAGTAGACATAAAAACTTTCATAAACATTTATAAACTTTTTGCGAATATATTCTGTTACATATAATAAGCATATTTTATTCAAGTCATTATTTTTTAATTCCACTATGCAACACTTCTGTAATATCGAGTAGACAAATTGTTTATAATTAAATAATAATAATTTCAATTTTCTACACTAAAAGGAAGTTTTCTTGACGTTTATATGGCACAAAAATAATATTTGAACCTACAAGCACCAGCAACTGTAGGAGTTTAACACTTAGCAGTGTCCATCTGTAATGCAAAATGCAGGCACAAAAATTATTAACAGGAAGACAAACAACAGCATAACTCATGTTAAATGTGTTGGTACGCTGTTGCAGACAAACTAATAAATTTTAAAATAGCAAGAACAATGCTAATAACAACAACAGCAACAACAACAATAAGGGTAAAAGCAGTGTAACAACGATAACTAAAACAAAGGCAGTGGATGCAACAACAATTACAAAAGTTAAATTTCAATAGCACTAAATTAAGAACACCGACAAAATAAAACACAACAACAAGTGCAATGAAACTGAATTAAGTAAAAATAAATTACAAAAACAAAAAAATAGAAACAATAAAATAAAACAACAAAATATTATGAAAAAAAAAATACCAAATTATGTTTTACAATACGAAAATTTAATTTAACCTTTTGCAATGTACGAAAAACAATGAGGGCAGGCACGGCAGGGCGTGTACGTAACACACTCGTTAAAAGGTTTAAAGTTATTCTTACACGATTGACTTGTACACAAACACAAACATCCAAAACAAATGAATGCAATGTATGTCTGTATATATATTCGAGCATGTGGGTATTACGAATCAAGTAGTATTCGAGTTTAAGCATACATCGAGACTCGCATAAATAAGGTAAGGTCAGTGTTGTTGTTGGTGTGCAATATAGTGATGACGTTTTGTAAGTCAACGACTTTTTGCATGCAATTCTTTGCTTTTCTGTATGTAATATATAGTGGCCACATATAAACTACATACATACGAGCACACACGAGCAACTGTAATGAACTGAGGTGTAGTGTATATTGGCGGAAGTGAAAAGGCTGTTAAGTGAAAAATATTAAACAAAATGCAGTATAAAAAAGTAATAAAGCTTGTTGATGTAAATATTTGTATGAATATGAAGTAGCAGTAGCAGCAGCAATAGTAGCAACAGCATTGGTAGCAATAGCACAACGCTATGTTAAAATATGTAGCAACGCTGTTGGGTGTTAAAATTATTTGTCGAAAGATTATATCATGTAATATGGAGAATACTTAAGGCACAACACTCAAATTAAAGGAAACAATAAAATTTTGCATAAACCAGCAAATTTGTTAAATTGATTTCATGTCGGAAAAAATAAAAAACAAATTATTCCATCGTGTTTTTTTAAATTAGAATATAAGAAATAAATAAATTTTTGTATCAGAATTAAAATAAAAACATTTTAAAAAAAAGAATATTTGTACTTTGCGCTTTCTATTAAATATTTTCAGTGTTAAAAAATTATGCCTTACATTTATAAAAATTTTTGTTTTCAAAAAACTTTAAATTTTGTATTGCATGTAATACATATGAATTGTTTTGAACTTAATTTTTTTTTTGCAAAAAAATTAGTTTTGAAATTTTTACAAATTACAAATTACAAATGAATTAGGTAAATAAAAACTAAATAAAATTTTATATAGTTTGTAATGGTCTTGGAAATAATTCTTGTACTTAATTATTCGTAAATAATTTTTTGAGACTGCAAGTACTAGGAATCGAACTCGTGTCCTGCCAAATTTGAAACTCAGAGTCAGCACACCTAAAATAGCTTGATAAAAATTAGAAAATTATGAAATATACGAATAAAATAATTATCTGTAATCTGTACTCTACCAAATATGTTTATTGTTAAAAATTATTTCTTAAATTTACTAAAATTTTTAATTTTAAGTTTCCAACTAAATTTAAATTTTATGCAAAAATTTTAAACACACAATAGCCTACTTTTATTTTTATTTTTACATGAAACAATAAGTACATAAAATTACAAAAACAAGCAAAAATATAAAAAATAATAATAAAATCGTTAATAGCAAGCAAGCAACAATAGCAAAAGAAGATAAAACAGCAGCGAATTTGTTAGTGCGAAACCAACAAGTATTTGATTGTTTTTATTAGTGTAGGGCTTTGGGCACAATAACAAATGATTCGCCACCCATGTACATCCATGTATTTGTTACATTTACACACACACACATACAAAAAGAGAAAGGCATATTCACATACTCGCATACTTAAAGGACAGCCTACAAACAAACATACCAACGTGTTAAATATGCAAAATAATCGCCCTTCCGCAATGGTTTGAAACAATGTAAAATGCTTGTTGAACATTTTTGTGTTAATTTTTAACAGAATTTCAATTTGCCAACAACTACAACAATAGCAGCAAAAACACGACACAACAACAAACGTTTGAAAAAGAGGGCAATAGCGACAATGTTAATAAAATAAGTTAAACAAAAAAATCTTTTATTAGGTTGACAGAGTGCTGTGAATTTGTGCACATAAAAGGTAATGGTGTTGTGATGTGCCGAGGAAACTGACATTTATGAGTTTACCCATTTTTTTTTTTTTATTTTAATTTAAGTTTTGTACCACAACAATTTGCTTTAAGTCTGACCCCGTATAAGTTTGAAACTCTCGTAACGATATTGATTGATTAATTTTTTCTTTGAAAATTGCTTTTTGCTGTCAGTTGTTGCTGCATCATTATTGTACGCTGCTGAAAGTGTTGTTAATTTTTTTCGATGTTTTTAATATTTTATAAAAGCACGTATCTTTTATTTTAGCAAGCATGTAAGTAAGTAAGTATGGAAAGCAATTAAAGTAATTTGAGCAAAGCAAATATATCAAAAATTACAAAAAAAAAAAATTATAAATACAATATATTTTTTGTACTACAGCTGCCCACATTTTTCGAGCAATTATTACATAATTTTTGTTGTAGAAAATGATTTCACAAATTGCCACATAAAAGTATGCAATAATTTCTGAAGAATACGTTAAAAGCTACAGACAAAATATATTGCCAGTTTCCATTACAATCAAAATATTTTTATAACATAACTCCGTTAAGTGTTGGTGTGTTGGTTATTTTCCGACACTGGTCAGAACTTGAGGCAGCCAACCACAACCACAGCCCGAAGACTACACAAGCAGCGCCTAGAAGTGCAGTAAAAATTTTGTAAATTACTGTAAGTACAAGTGCACAAACAGCGTTAATGCGAAAATGACTTGCATCAAGCTGCCATATCGACACTGCCACTTTTCGCCATTTTTCGCCACTTACAACCACAAAAGCTTCCGCACAGTAAAAGCATTTAAAAGAAAAAAATTTTGTAAAATGGCGCCAAAGAAAACACACTTAAAATTAACGTTTACTTTTAAGGAGCCAGAGCCACTACTCGCCAACGCCTCCAGCGCCAAGTTAAGTGTTTTTTTTAGTTTGCGAGTACAATGGAAGCATTTCTGCTGACTGTAAGCACACCAAACTGGGCGCAGCATTTTTTACTGGCCGTTACTTGTATTCAAAGTGCCACGTATTTCGAGTGAGGTTCAAAACGCCCTTGAGTGGTTGTAAATAACGCGCAGCAGGTGCTGCAAGTGCTGCAAGTGCTGCAGGTGCTGCAGCGTTCCAAAAGAAAGTCAAACGAATGACCAACATGAATTAAGCTAACGTCTAGTGGATGCATTTTCACCCTTTGGCAATTTTTAGAAACCAAACAAAAACTCGCTTATACAAATGAGTTTTGAAGTGTGCAGCTCTGAATGCAATAAGTCAGAAGACTGCATATCATATCTCCTGAGCGCAATTTTCTTAAGTGTACCATTAATGGCACAAAAATGACATGACATTTGCAGCCAATGCAGCAAACACAATAAAAAATGGTAGATTATTAAAAGTGGTCAAGTGTGATGTGGCATTATCAGTAAGTTGCACTGGAGTAAGTACTGGTTTTGG